AAATGGCCTTGCTGATTCAGTGCCGTTTGCTCTGAAACTTAAATGAAGGAACTTTGAAAGTTATAAAGACCACCCAGTGTGATGACTATAAATACTGAATAACCTCCAGAATGTTCCTGAATCTTCTCCACTGCCCGCCTTGATCTGGGCCTTGACCACCACAGCAGGCAGCCTCCTAACTAACCTTCCACCTTTGCCTCTTAGAACCCACCCCCAAGGCAGCAGCCAAGGGGTCTTCTCAAGATTTAAGGGAGACCCTGTCAGGACTTCCCTGCTGGTCCAATAGTTAAGACTTGCACTTCCACTGCAGGGGGCACAGGTTCGATCCCTGGTCAGGGAACTAAGACCCTTCATGCCACACAGCCAATATATAAAATAATAATAATAATACATATCTTTTAGAATAGATGAGATTGTCACTCCTCTGCTGAAAACCTTCCAGTGGTTTCCCAGTGCACATGGAGCACAGAGCTGGCTCTTGCACAGAGTGACCCGCATGTCGCTCTCTGACCAGCCTCAGCCTGTCGCCTGCCCCTTGCTTCCTGCTTGGCCTGCTCTCATTCCAGTCCTGCAGCCTCAGCTGGCCTCCTGTCTCTTCCTTGAACATTCTAAGCTTGTTCCCACCTCAGGGCCATTCCCTGAGCTGCACCTGGGCCAGGTGTGCCCTTCCCCACCTCCTGTGTCCTCGTGACTGGCTCCTTATCTCTTAAATGCCACCTCCTAGCACGGGCCTTCCCTAAGCTCCCAGCCACCCGCACCCTCAACCTGCCACATTTCCTATTTTAGTTTCTGTGTAACTCTTATCTGTATCTCTGCTTCTCTTGTGCATTTAACACCAACCTTTTTATTTGTTTTTCCACGCTTGAACCGCAAGCTCCCCAAGGCCAGGGACTTCATTAATCTCATTCCCTCGGCTCCGGCAGAGCCCACTGCACACAAAGGTGTTCTGTGGTTATTTGCTGAGTAAATGAACAGTAGTAGCAGAGTGGTCCAGAACAGCCCTTGCCCAAAAAGAGTGGCCTGGACAGAAAGTAGGGCTTTTCTGGTGGCTCAGTGGTAAAGAACCCTCCTGCCAATGCAGGAGACGTGAGTTCGATCTGTGGGTTGGGAAGATCCCCTGGAGGAGGAAATGGCAACCCACTCCAGTATTCTTGCCTGGAGAATCCTATGGACAGAGGAGCCTGGTGGGCTACAGTCCTTAGGCTCTCGGAGTCGGACACGACCGAGCACACAGGTGTCATCATTAGTCTTGCAAGGTGGATATCATTAGCTCCATCCTGTAACGGACAAAACAGAGGCTCAGACTGATTCTATGAAAGCTAGCATGGGTCAGGGCTATGACAGGAACTCGGCTCAGGGCCCTGTGCACTGCCCTGGCCTCACTTCAGCGCATGATGCAGGCAGAGCAGCTCATGAACTCTTGGTGCTCAGGTGTTAGGACCACAGGGTTTCTTCTCCCATGAACAGGGGCAGTGACTTCAAATTGCTCAAAAAAAAAAAAGAATCGCAAGCAGTCAGTCGGAGCTCTGGGACCCTGGGTGAGTTCTGTTTTGTTTTTTTTAATGTGTGCATGCCCATAACTCCCAAGTGTAAGCTTCTGTTACTTTTCTATTAAAAAAAAGAAAAAAAGAGTTATTGTTCAAATGTCTCACTTTAGCAGCACAGCAGGTGGGCCTTGGTGGAGAAGCAGGAGTAGAGCCTGGGTCCCTGGAGAGAGATGCAGGTCTGAGCCCTTCTGTGCAGCTGGGCCGTAGGTTGCTGGGAAGGAGAAAGACAGGTGAAGAAAGCACTGAATCAAAGCCCTTTGGAGCCAGGGTGCTGCGGGAGGGCGGGGATTAGGCCTCGCTGCTGACGCTTGCTTTTACTTTGGCTTATGGTGGGGCGCCAGGGGAGGCCTGGGGCAAGTTTCTTGAACCTTGATTTCTGTTCGCGGCGGCCAATTAAAAGAAACAAACTGCAGGTTGCTGAGGCCTGTGGGTATCATTGCATGTCCATTCCTGAACATACCTGCAGCCTGCTTCCCCGGGGGCAGTGTGGCCTTAGACAAGTCACAGAGCCCTCCAAGCCTCAGTTTTTGTTTTTTGGCCACTCCACGCTGCACGTGGGGTCTTAGTTCCCCAGTCAAGGATCGAACCTGCACACCCTGCATTGGAAGCACAGAGTCTTAACCACTGGACCACAGGGAAGTCCCCAAGCCTCTTTATTTTCTTATAAAAAGCCTTTACTTTTGTAGGCCTCGCTTCTGGGTGGAAAGTGGGGATCATAGCACCTATTTTTGAGATTATTGTAGGGATAAATAACCTGATCCTGAGAGCAGGGCTTCTTAAGCCCCCTTTTTACCGCAGACCTGTCAGGCAGCCTGGGGACGTCCATGAATGCCTTCTCAGAATACTCTTTCTAGATGTATGCAGTAAAACCACACAGGATTACAAAGGAAATCAATGCTCTTGAACTACAGTTTGGCTCTTTTTTAAATCAATGCACTAAAAAATAAGAACTAGCAGTGAGTGTATGTAACTACAATAATTTCGAAGTTGGGTTGAGCGTGAACCAAGATTTTGTTGTGTCTGCAGCAGCTGAAATGTGACAGGGAAAAAGCTGTGATTTCTGTGTCTGGTGTTCCTGGGGTGTTTTGCCTGTGTTCCTAATTGGGGGGATTGGTCATTATCAGGTAGAAATTTGTGAATAAAGTTGTGTTTTCCCAGACTCCCGAAAAAAGGTCACAGACCCCTAGATTCTCTCCTTGGGACCCAGGTTCAAAACTCCTGCCATAGAAGTGGCTGGACAACCAGCAGGTGACCTCCAGAAATGACTTCCCTGGAGCAGAGGGTTGTCCAGTGGATGCGGGATGGATGAGGATGAGGGGAAGGGATAAATGCAGACCTGGAGAGCTGACGAGTGAGGCCAGAGACCATGGAATTAAAGCCTTCCCAGTCTCTCTAGGTAGCTGTCGAGAGCCTGGTGAGTGGGAGAAGTGCCAGGCGTGGAGATGACGTAGCTCAGATAGTGTTCGTGTGGTGTGTAACCTGTCTGCACACTGCAGTGGGGCAGGTGAGTGCCAGGGTTGTGGGGGAAGTGGAGTGCGGGTCTAGGCTGAAGGCAGCCTGCAGGGGTGGGTAGCACTTTTCAGTTGGGAGGTGACACTGTCTGGGCCCCAGAACCCAACTGCCAGAGTTCAAAGCCCAGTTCCGTCACTTAGTAACTAACCTTGGCATGTCACTTCATCTCTTTGTGCCTTGGTTTCCTCATCTGTAAAATGTGGGTGATAGTGGTACTTTCCTAAGGAGTGTTATAAGGATTAAGCATTATACTTAATGTTATATATAGTATCTTGTTATATATAGTATCTTACATAGTATCTTACTCTATTGGTATATAGTATCTTTTTAAAAAAATTAATTTATTTTAATTGGATAGTATCTTAGTATAGCATTATAGTTAAAGCTCACCAGGGCTTCCCTATCCAGTATTCTTGCCTGGGAAAACCCATGGACAGAGGAGCCTGGCGGGCTCCAACCCATGGGGTTGCTAAGGAGTCAGACAGGACTTAGCAACTGAACAAACATCTCAGAATAATATCTGGTAAGAGAAAGTGCTCAATAACTGATGACTGAACTCAGCATCTTCACTTTTATTCCAGGTCTCATGAGACACTCAGAGTGTATTTTTCTGTGCTGCTCAGAGATAAAGCAGATACAGCTTCTTCCTTCAAGGAGCACCTAGTTTAGGAAGAGAATGGGAATATGAACGCATACTTTCAGTTCACTAGGATTGCTGCCGTGCTTGTGAGCTTGTGGGGCTGTGCTAGGGTGGACTTTGTGGCAGGCAGCCTTCCTGGTAGAAAAGCCACCTCAGCTGAGCTTTAAGAAACACTGGGCATTAATCAGGGTTGTTCTAGAAAGAGCGGGCAGCTTGAACAGGAAGCTGCATGGTCCAAAGTTGCTGGAATGTCACATTCCATACCGGGCCATGGGCACTGTGTGCCCTGGATGAACAGCCTGGCCTTTGTCCTCCTGGCAGTGGGTGTCATAGAAGGTTTTGTTTGTTTTTAACTTTTTATTCACAGGAAGTTGCAAAAATGGTAACAAAGGGTTCCCTTTACTCTGCTTCCCTTGATTGTGATATACAGCCAAAATCAAAACCAGAAAAATGACATTGGTACATTACTGGACCACAGAGCTTATTCACGTTTCACCTTTTTAAAAAAAATTAATTTATTATTTATTTGGCTGCACTGGGTCTTGATTGTATGGCTCTCGGTGCTCAGGAGCTTCACTGTGACATGCAAACTCTTAGTTGTGGCATATGGGATCTAGTTCCCTGACCAGGGATTGAACCTGGGCCCCGTGCATTGGGAGGGTCGAATCCTAGCCACTGGATCACCAGGGACGTCCTCATCTTTTTTTTAAACCTACATTCCTGTGGGTGTGTGCACGCATCTGGGTTTTGAGCAAGGGAAGGGTGCTGACATGTGACAGAGATCTCTGACCAGCAAATGGCAGCAGATTGCAGGGAATACAATGGTCAGAGGTGATGGAGGGCCTGCTTGTGGAGATGATGGGAGAAGCATGGACAAGCGTTTCAGAGGTAAAGCTGGAATTGGAGATTGACTGAGAGCAGGATGACGGTTGGGTCTATGACTAGAGTTGGAGAATGATGGAGGAGGGGCAGGATTAGGGGAGAAGCTGCTGAGTTAAGTCTGGAATGTATTGAGTCAGAAGGACACTCAGCTCAACTGAAATGGGCACCAAGGAGGACTTTCTGGACACAGAGGCATCCATGCTGGGTCTTAAAGGATGAGTGGGAGTTGGCTGGGGGTGCAGGTGGGGAGGGGGAGGGCATTCCAGGTAGAGGGTTTGAGATTAGGAAAGGTACAGGGGTCATAAGCAGCCTGGGTATTGGGCATCTGGGTAGCATTTCCCACAAGGTAAAAGATGTGAATCTGAAATATTGGGGAGGGGGTGAGCCTGGTGGGAGGAATAGATTTGTGAGTCATCGGCATGACTCATGAGATCATGAAATGCAAGAGCTCATCTGGGGGGAGCAGGTGGAGTGAGGAGACCAAGAGCACTGTCCCTGAAGCGGAAGACCTGGGCAGAGGAGGACAAGGACCAGCTGATGCAGCCAGCAGTCCTAGAAAAGGCCAGGAAGAAACTGGCCCCTCCCGGACTCGGCAGGTAGGAGGCCCCTGGGATGGGGAGCACCCTTGGCAAGCATCCGCAGTGGAGTGTGCGTGGGCGTGTCGTGAGTTGGGGAGTGGAGTGGGAAGTGTGGACGTGGAGACAGCACGGACAACTCTTTCACAGAATGTGACCAAGAAAGGGAATCAAGGTTGTGCTCGCCAGAAAGGGGATTCGGGATCTGAGGAGGGAATTATTTTGAGGGGTGGGGAAGACTTGAGCGTGATGACAGACGGAGGCTCCTGGAGCTAGGTCTCTTTGCTTAATGGGTGACACTAAAGGTAGTGGCCACGTGCGTGGGCTCCGGGGCCAAGGTGCTAGGGTTTGAATCCCAGCTCTGCCTAGCTCCAGCTGTGTGACCTTGGGTAAGTCACTTAACTTCTCTCTGCCCCCTACTCCTCCACAAATTGGGAATGATAGTAGTCCTGATGTCATAGGATTATGCAAGTCTTAAGAAAGGTATTATGTGGGGTGGGAGGTGGGTAAATAATTGTTGGTCGCTCAGTCGTGCCCGATTCTTTGTGACTCCATGGACTGCAGCCCACCAGGCTCCTCTGTCCATGACGATTTTCCAGGCAAGGATACTGGAGTGGGTTGCCATTTCCTTCTCCAGGGGATCTTCCCAACCCAGGGATCAAACCTGGGTCTCCGACACTGCAGGCAGATTCTTTACTGACTGAGCTACAAGGGAGGGTGGGAGGGAGACTCAAAAGGGAGGGGACATATGTATACCTATGACTGATTCATGCTGATGGATGGCAGAAACCAACACAATATTTTAAAGCAATTATCCTCCAATTAAAAATAAATAATAAAACAAAAACAAAGAAAGATAATATGTGTATAGGGATCATGACAGTCCCTGGAACACTGTAATCACTCAGGAAATATTAATATTATTACCTGATTGTGAATTTGTCTTGGTATCAGTTTTTTCACTCATTTATTCAACACTCATTCATTCTTATCTGTGTAATGCTTGGGTTGAATGAATTGATACTCATTCATCCATTTCTTTTTCATCCAAACCACCATTTCCCGAACACTTGCTCTATGGCAAACATGGGCCAGACGTTGAGATTTTGGAGAACCTGGCACAGTCCCTGCCTGGTCTGATGAAGATCTGAGTCTCTAAAATTCTGTCATCGTCAAACCCTTCTCCAGAGTGAGAAAATATCGTGTTTCCTTTGTGGTTCCCAGGTCAATGGTTTGGTCTTTTTCTTAGGAAGAATGTCCGTGGACATTTTGGCAGTCCCAGAGCACTGGGTTTAAAATCATGCTACTGGTTCCCATTTGGCCCTTGTCCTACTGCTGGCCTCAAGTCAGTCATCTCAGTTTGTATTTTAGATTACAAGGCAAATACTTTCTTCCTGCAAGACGTCCAAAGCCCGCGGAGGCATTTAAAGCAGAAGGGAACGTGGTTGTGTGCTCTTGCCTCTTGGCAGATCCTAGTTCCCAGAAAGAACCACTGAAACTGGAGAATATTCTCTCAAACGCCTTCTTTATATAAACACACATTACACACAGATGTAATCATACAAACCCAAATGTTCTAAAATCTGTTTCTTTTTTTCCTTTCTCAACCATGTACGGAGGCATCTCCATGACAATACCTATAGATTAAATCGCTGCTTGTATTCCATAATGTAGTGGTTTGATTAAGCCAGTTCTTTACTGATGGACATTAATGTTGCTTCTAGTTTTTTACTCTTTAAAAAAGTATATCCCTGTACAAATATAATTTGCAGGCTTTTATAAGGACTGTGTGGATCACAATAAACTGTGGAAAATTCTGAAAGAGATGGGAATACCAGACCACCTGACCTGCCTCTTGAGATACCTGTATGCAGGTCAGGAAGCAACAGTTAGAACTGGACATGGAACAACAGACTGGTTCTAAATAGGAAAAGGAGTACGTCAAGGCTGTATATTGTCACCCTGCTTATTTAACTTATATGCAGAATACCTCATGAGAAATGCTGGGCTGGAGGAAGCACAAGCTGGAATCAGGATTGCTGGGAGAAATATCAATAACCTCAGATATGCAGATGACACCACCCTTATGGCAGATAGTGAAGAACTAAAGAGCCTCTTGATGAAAGTGAAAGAGGAGAGTGAAAAAGTTGGCTTAAAACTCAACATTCAGAAAACTAAGATCATGGCATCTGGTCCCATCACTTCATGGGAAATAGATGGGGAAACAGTGGAAACAGTGGCTGACTTTATTTTTTTGGGCTCCAAAATCACTGCAGATGGTGACTGAAGCCATGAAATTAAAAGATGCTTACTCCTGGGAAGGAAAGTTATGACCAATCTAGATAGCATATTAAAAAGCAGAGACATTACTTTGCCAACAAAGGTCCATCTAGTCAAGTTTATGGTTTTTCCAGTGGTCATGTATGGATGTGAGAGTTGGACTATAAAAAAAGCTGAGTGCCAAAGAATTGATGCTTTTGAACTGTGGTGCTGGAGAAGACTCTTGAGAGTCCCTTGGACTGCAAGGAGATCCAACCAGTCCATCCTAAAGGAGATCAGTCCTGGGTGTTCATTGGAAGGACTGATGTTGAAGCTGAAACTCCAATACTTTGGCCACCTGATGTGAAGAGCTGACTCATTGGAAAAGACCCTGATGCTGGTAAAGATTGAGGGCAGGAGAAGGGGACGACAGAGGATGAGATGGCTAGATGGCATCACCAACTCGATGGACATGAGTTTGAGTAAACTCCCGGAGTTGGTGATGGACAGGGAGGCCTGGCGAGCTGCGATTCATGGGCTGTGTGTAGACAGAGGAAGTGATGCTGGCTGCTGGGTAGGCAGCTTGCTCATTTTGGTAGGTGTTGCTTCACAGAGACCTCACCAGTTCACAGGCTGAGTGTGTTAACAGTGTTGGAGAGTGCTCTTTCCTCCACCTCATTGACCAGGCTCTCTTCTTTCATTAGCCTTATAGGTGAAAAGAGTTGTCTTGTTTTAATGTGTTTTTTTTTCTTTAAATTATATTTATTTATTTTGGCTGTGCTGAGTCTTCACTGCAGTGCATGGGCTTTCTCTAGTTGCAGAGAACAGGCTTCTCATTGCAGTGGCTTCTCTTGTGGAGCGCAGGGCTCTGCTGCTGCTGCTGCTAAGTCGCTTCAGTCGTGTCCGACTCTGTGCGACCCCATAGATGGCAGCCCACCAGGCTCCTCCGCCCATGGGATTTTCCAGGCAAGAGTACTGGAGTGGGTTGCCATTGCCTTCTCTGCGCAGGGCTCTAGGGCTCAATAATTATGGTGCGTGGGCTTAGCTGCCCTGGGGCATGTGGGATCTGCTCAGACCAGGGATAGAACCCGTGTCTTCTACATTGGCAGGTGGATTCTTAACCACTGAACCACTAGGGAAGTCCTCTGAGTATCCTTTCTTGATGGGTTGTGTTCCTGTGAATTTCCTGTTTATATTCTTTGCCTGTCTGATTTTTTTTTATTATCTTTTAATACTCTTATTTATTTATTTATTTTTGATTGTGCTGGGTCTTTGTTGCTGCGAGGGCTTTTCTCTAGTCGTTACTCTGTAGTTGCAGTGTGCAGGCTTCTCATTGTGATGGCTTCTCTTGTTGCTGAGCATGGGCATTAGGGCACTTGGGCTTCAGTAGTTGTGGTTCCCTGACTCTAGAGCACAGGCTCAATAGTTGTGGCACATGGGTTTAGCTGCCCCGAGGAATGTGGAATCTTGCCGGATCAGGGAACAAACCTGTGTCCCCTGCATTGACTGATGGATTCTTAACCACTGGACCACCAGGAAAGTCCCCTCAGTATCTTTCCTTACTGAATTATGTTTCCTGTGAATTTCCTGTTTTATGTTCTTTGCTCCTCTTTTTAAGTAATCATAATGATTATAGAATAAAAATAGTTGATATTAAATGCATATCTTGTGTCAAACATCTCATTGAACTTGCACAACAACCCCTGACAATAGATACTATTCCTGTTTTAGAGGCGAGGGAAGTGAGACACTGAGAAATTAAGTAGCTCATATGCAGTTAATAGGGAGCAGATCTTGGATTTGAACCAGCATGCCCCTGGGTGTGAGGTCACATACCATGCTGACATATTGATGGAATCGTTTTCTGTTGGCTCTTTTAATTCACAGCTATATTTCTGAGACGAGCTCATTTGAGTCAGGTCCCGCTTGGAATTCCTAAATTACAAGAATCTGGACCCAGAGTTGGGGGGAAGGTACCACCCTGTCTGGTGGTGGGATTCTGGGGGGATCGGGGCCTTGGTTTCCTCCTTGGGCTTTTTTCTTCTTTAGAAAGAAACAAGATTTATTTGGCTTATGTGCTCCTTGCTCTTCCACCAAGTGCCCTCTCCGAGTTGTGCCTGACCCTCACCCTGGAGGAGCTCACTTCCCTCTGTAGCTGAGAAACTTTTAACCACTGTCTTGGTCTGCTCTGGCTGCTATAACAAAATATTACAGACTGGGTGGCTTAAACAGCAGACATTTATTTTCTCACAGTTCTGGAGCATAGATGACCCAGATCAAGGTGCTGGCAGATTTGGTTACTACTGAGAGCTCTCTTCCTTTTTACAGACGGCTAGCTGCCTTCTCACTGGCCTCATCTGGCCTTTTCTTGGTGATGCCTGCCTGTAGGGAGAGGAAGGGAGAACTGTATGGTGTCTCTTCTAATAAAGAAATCAATCCTATCAGATCAGGACCCTACCCTTATAGTCTCATTTAACCTTAATGACCTCCTTCGAGGCCCTATTTCCTAACAGTCACATTGGTGGTTAGGGCTTCCAACATGTGGTTTATGGGGGACACAAACATTCAGTATATAGATTCTACTCTTCCCACTCCCCCAAAATTCATTGTCTCATCACATGCAAAATAGGTTCATTCCATCGCAATAACCCCCAAACTATCAACTCATTCCTGCATCAACTCTCAAGTCCAGAGTCTCATCTGAATCAGATATGGTTGAGAGGAGAGGGATGATTCATCCTGAAGCAGAATTCCTCTCCAGC